GGGGTGGGGGGAGACTAGAAACAGCGACTCAACTCCTACATACATCCCCTGAAGAAAGAAAAGCTCTGATATGCGTAGACATAAGCACACCCATGTTCACTGTAGTATTATTCATAATATCAAGATCGAAACAAACTAAATGCCCATCAATGGAAGACTGGATAAACAAATTGTGGTATATACGCACAATGGAATACTTCAAAATGATAATGAATAATGACAAATCCTAGAAATAACGCATATGTGTGATTTGGAAGACATTATACTGAGTGAAATAAGGCAATCACAGAAGAACAAATATAAGACCATTATTATTTTAAAAAGTAATAAAAAAAAAACAAGAAAAAAGTTTACACACAAACACATATTTTTGATGGTTACTAGGGATGGGAGCTGGAAGAAAGGGAACAAAAGTGTAGGAGAGGCCCAGGAAGCTTAGCAGGATGGTTGATTAGGCAAATGTATTTGGAATAGTTGGGTCCTCCAACATTCTGGTGGGAAAACAGAGGGCAGCTGTGTTATTTGCTGAGAGTTACGGTACTTGCAGCTCAATGGTAAAGCAGTGCCCCAAGAAGTTACTGATATGCAGGAGGAATAGGAAACTCGGCTCAGGAGACAAGACAGTGGCACAGTCTCTGAAGAGACAATTCCCCTCCTCCAACCATCAAAGTCAGGCTACCATACCAGGCATTTCCATGATGAAGCCTTCTGTACATCTAGCACTGAGCAAAGTGGCCTCCACACCGTTGTGACCCGTATCCTTCACCATTTAATCATACTGTGTCATAATCAGTGATGAATTGACTGTGGGCTCCTCAAAGGTAGGATGCTCCCTTAGTCGCTCTTGTTTTCCAGAACTTAGCACTTTGTGTGCCTTTGAACTGAACTGAACCTTAATAGCAATCAGCTTGCTAGGCTGAATGGCAGGCTGAAATGTTAAGAGTTCAAATTTCTGGTTACCTTAACACCTGGTCGAATTGTTTCTAGGGGCGAGCCTGGCACAGGGTGCAATGGGACCACCGTTTCAAATGACGTCTCTCCTGCAAAAACAAGATCAAGTTTAAGTCAAAGAAGGAAGGGTTACGTTAGCATTCACGCAAGCAGAGATAAATGTGTTCATCTCCTTCTCCAAAACACCAACACCACGGTTGTTGGGTTAATTCCAACTCAGTGACCCTAGAGGACACAGCAGAACTGTCCTCTGGGGTTTTCAGGGCTGTCATCTGTACGGAAACAGACAGCCACATTTTTCTCACGCAGAGTAATGCCAGGTTGGAATCACCAATCTTCCATTTAACAGTTCTTAACCATAGCAGCCACCAGGGCTGCTATGCTCCCCGCCAACCCTTCAAACATCTCAAGGTTTCCCCCCACCCCTTTCCTTCTGGAAACAATAGTTATGTGGCATGGGCTTTATTGTCATTTCTGCTTTGGGGCACGTCACACATCTGACCTTTCAGTAAAGGAAGAAGATCTACCACAGATTGACCAAGAACTAAGGTCTTCTCATCTTTCTGTTTCTTTTCCTTTGGTAAAACTTCAGTCACTGTTACTAGAAAAATCAAAATAAAGGAAATGAGAACATTTCTAGCTCACTTGTCAGATAACCAAGATGCAACAAATAAAGTATTGTCAAAGAAATTTAAATAAAGAGAAATTAACTTGAAACACAAGCAAGCGTCAACATCAGTGACTACTGATGGAAAGTGTCAGAGTGCCCTAGTGACTCTCAAACTTTTTGCCTGTAACTTCTAAGAAAAAGACGTTACATCATGATCATGTACACATATATGTATAAAGGTAACTGACAAGAATGTTTCACATAAGTTTCATCCTTACAAGTTCAAAACCCTTAGGTATTTTCTATCCTATTTTACTTTATATATATTATTGGTCATAATCTCCCTAAATTTTTAAGAATAACTGAAAATGTCATAATCTTTAGTTTGAAAAACATTGTTCTAGATCTTTCCATGTTACCCACCATTGTTGTCGTTATGTGCCATGGAGTCGGTTCTGACTCATAGCGACCCTGTACAGGGTTTCCGATTACCCACCATGGGATTGAGCAAATCTTGGAATGATCCACACAGCATGCAAGAGATACACAAGGTTCTTCTTTGCAGCATTATCATGTGTGTGTACTTAACACTGATTATGAAACATTTCAAATATATACTAAAATGTAGAGAATAACATAATCACATGCTGTCATGTTTACTCCATCTATTTTTGCTGTCAAGTAAATTGCAAACAATGACATTTTGCCCCTAAATACTAAAGTATACAAATCCAAAATATGACATTTTCCTACCTAACCACAATACCAATGGAAACTCTATACAGGGTTGCTACGAGTTGGAACCAACTTGAAGGCACTTAACAACATTGTATGACAACATATATATATTATTATAAACATCACAAAATAATGTATAATAGAAGTACTTTTGTAGAGTTTTTAGGATTCCTGTGTTGACAATTTTGTGATCTGAAAACAAGGGTAGTATGATTTTTTCCTTTGTGATCTGTTTGTCTTTTATTACCTTTTCTTCCTTTCATGAACTGGCTAGAACTTCCAGCTCTATGGTAAATCCAATGGTGAGAGCAAACATCCTGATCTTAAGGGGAAACTTTCAGTCTTTTGCCTTTAAGTATATTGTTGTTGTGTGCAGTGGAGTAGTTCTGACTCACAGTGACCCTGTATGGGGTTTCCGAGGCTGTATATCTTTACAGGAGCAGACAGCCGCATTTTACTCCCGCAGAACAGCTAGCAGTTTCGAACTGCTGACCTTGAAATTAGAAGACTGATTTGTAACCACTACACTACCAGAGCTCCTTCCCTTTAAGTATAGGTTATAACCCAATCCATCACCATCAAGTGTATTCCAACTACTAGCAACCCTACAGAGTAGAAGGCAATTACCCCATAGGATTTCCAAGGCTGTAACTCTTTATGGAAGCAGATTGCCACCTATTTCTCCCACAGAGCAGCTGTAGGTTCAAACCACTGACCAACTGGCAGCCACACACGAACCCATGTACCACCAGGGCACCTCAGTGCCAGCTATAGGTTTTTGTCACATGATTATAAGGTTTCAGAAGGTCCCTTCTATTTCTAGTTTCCTGAGAGTTTTTATCATGAATCGGTGCTGAATTTTGTCAAAAGCTTTTTCTATATCGATTGATGTGATCATGTGATTTTTCTTTGTTAGACTGTTAAGACGGAGAATTACATTGATTGAACGGGTGTTTAATACCTGGAATATAAACTTGGTCATGGTGTATGATAGTTTTGTATATTGCTGATTTCTATTTATAAATATTTTATTAAGGGTATTAGCATCCATATTCATGAGAGATATTGGTTAGGTTTTTTTTTTTTTTTGGGTCTGGGTTTTGTTATCAAGGAAAATTAACTTTATAAAATGACTTGAAGTGTTTCCTCTTCATTTATTCCTTGGAGATACGACATACAATTGGTATGTACATACAATTCTTTTCTACACTTTTGGTAGAGTTGCTGTTAAGTGCCGTCAAGTTGGTTCCAACCCATAACAACCCTGTACAGGGTTTCTGAGGAGTGATTGGTGAGCTTGAACTGCCGACCTCACAGTTCATACAGCTTTGTAGTCTGGCACATTAACTCACAACGCATACTCCATTGTAATTACCTAAGCCTGGAAAGTTTCTTGGGGAGGGGAGGTTTTATAAAAAAAAAAAATTATTGTATGATCAAATACATCTTAAAAATTTTGCCATTTTAATGAGTTACTAGACTGGGGGCTCAGGACCATGGTCTCAGGGGACACCATGGTCAGTTGGCACAACACTGCCCACAAAGACAATGTTCTACATCCTCCTTTGATGAGTAGACTTTGGGATCTTAAAAGCTCATAAGCAGCCATCTAAGATGTAACTAATGATTTCTCCTTGTGGAAGAAAATTTAAATTATGAAAATTTAAAGATGTTTGGAATCAAGAAGTCCAGAAGACCAATGAAACATGTGAACATCAAGTCACCATTACTCTGAGACCAGAAGCACTAGATGGTGCCCAACTATCACTACCAACTGCTCTGAAAGGGATCCCATTAGAAGGTCCTGGAGAGAGGGGCAGAAAATGTGGAGCAAAACTCAAAATTATAAGTAAGGCCAGGATTACTGGTTAGAAAGAGACTGGAAGAACCCAAGAATATGACCTTCGACCACCCTTCAGGTCTGGAACAGAACTCTCCCTTGTGACACAATTTGTAGACAACCAGTAGATAGATATATAGCAGGGGCACTAGTGAAGTATCCTCACCACAGAATGGTCAACCATTCTGATCAAAAGGGCAACATTTACCTAAGGACAAAATTGTGTAGGGATAGGAAGGAGAGTGGAATGGGAATAAGAACCACAGAAAGGTAGTGAAGTAACTGGTGTTACATAGAGGGGATTGCAATCATTAAGATGAAACAAAGTATATGATTTGTTGAATGGAAAACTGATGATCTTCTCTGGTAACCTTTATTTAATTCACAACAAAACGTTTAAAAAACAATTTACCATTTTAAGTGTATAATTCAGACATTAATTATATTCACCATGATGTGCAACCGTCACCACTGTCCATTTTCAAAAGTTTTTCCTTACTCCAAACAGAAACTCAGTAACTCTTCAATAACTCATTTTCTCTTCCCCCAGTTTCTAGAAACTACTGGTAGACTTTAGTCTCTGCTCTTGTCTACTCTAAATATAAAAACACAGATAAACTTTTATCTCTGCACTTGCCTACTCTAAATATGTTATATAGTAGGCTCTTAGATCATTTTCCCTATGTGTCTGACTTATTTCACTGAACATGCTTTCAAAGCTCAGCATGTTATGGCATCCTGTTATATACCAGAACTTCGTCTCTTTATGGCTGAGTAAGTTCCATTATATCCCACTGTAATACTCTATTGTTAATTCCATCTGTTGATGGACAATTGGCTTGTTCCCACATTTTGGCTATTGTGAATAATCAACATTGGTGTACATGTATCTATTTGAGTACCTGCTTTCAAGTCTTTTGGGTATAAATTATGAAACCAACTTCCTTAATAGTTGTTTACTGCTGTCCAGTCAATTCTAACACATAGCAGCCATGTATAGGGTTTACAAGGAGCAGGTGGTCAGTTCAAATTGCCGACCTTGCAGTTCAAACCAACTGTGCAGTCCAGTGCTTATCCTACAGCTCCATAGCAGGACTCCTTAATAGTTACGGTGCTGGTGGGTTATACGCCTGAAGTCGGCCCAGACTCATAGGAACCCTGCAAAAGCGTTTCCGAGGCTGTAAATTCTTATAGGAGCAGAAAACCTCATCTTTCTCTTATGGAACAGTTGATAGTTTCGAACTGCTGACCTTGAGGTTATCAGCCTAACTCATTACCACTATGCTACAAGAGCCCCTCTTCATAGATATACAGTTATCTAAATGATTTCATATTAGGTGAATTGTTCTCTTTTTTGAGGAATTGGTCCATTTTGTCCAAGTTGTCAAATTTATGTGTGTAGAGTTGCTGTTAATAGTATTCCTTCATCATACTTCTGACTGATGTCTGTACTAGCATTAGATCTGACCTGGTATTATGTTTCATTCCTGATACTGGGAAGTTGTGGCGTCTTTTTTTTTTCCCCCTTACCCATCTTTCTAGCTGCTTGCTAATTTTTATTGCTCTTTTCAAAGACGGTGTTGTTTCATTGATTTTTCTCATATTCTATTTCATCTTTATTATGCCTTTGCCTTCTGCTTGCTTTAGGTTTCTTACCATTCTCTTTTTCTAAGTTCTCGAGGTGGAAGCTTAGATTACTGAGCTGAGACTTTGTTCTTTTCTAATATACATATTCTCAAACCAAATCATTCACTACCAGTGAGATGATTTTAACCCATAGTGA